TTTACTTTTGAGTTTGGTTGAACAACAACATTTTCTACTTTCTAGAGTTCATCCTCTTTATTTTAGCCCAGGCCAACCCACTCCACTATGTTCGAAGCTCTTCAACTTTTTCACACAAATTACTTAAAAATTCCTGCTCTTAAACATCTTAGATCCCTCACTCACCCTTCTGGCGGTGACGCCCCAAAGGTATATTTCTCTCATTGCTTTCAAAATTCAATATATGTATATATAGGGGCCAAGATTATGATGAGAAAGGACAGTAAATAGCTATCAATATGTGAATGTCTTATTTTCTTTCACTATGTAATAGCATCACTAACTTTTGTTTTTACTGTCTTATTGTATTTCCCATGTTGAGAGACAGAACTAAAAGGACAGTCGAATAATGGAACAGAGTCGGTATCTGGTAATCTTTCTACTTTACCAAAGCCAATTGCAATTTGTTTTGGAACAAAGAAAGATGCTCTGTTAATCTAGGGATATGGCACCCACTTGGTTTTTGGATAGGATTTGGTGCATTATCGAATAAGGACTTTTTTCCCTTTAGAATTATCGAATCAGTGCTTATGTATGCTGTCTGCAGATGTTACAGTAACAACTACAAATACAAGTTGAGAGGAAGATCATATTCCTTTTGTGGTGCAGCTGGGGTTTGTTATCATATGCGGTGCTTTTTGTTGTATGGCCATATGAAGCTGCAGATGCAAATATTTCTTAAGGTAGCCTTCTTCACTATGAATAGATTCATACATGCATACTTATTCACGCTTGCATACAAGCTTTGGGGTTGCTAAAATTTTCCTTTGGGTTTCATAGGTACATGATGATCCTTCTTACGCTCTAGTTTGATGGTCCAACTCAATGGGTGAGTAATGCCGTTTATTTTCATGCGCATGTTTTCTGGAAGTTCATTCCTGTTTTGGGATGTTTGAATATATAGGCATTGTTTAAATTACAATATTTTATTAAGTTAAATTGTTTAAATTACTTTTTATTTATAATTTTAGCCCTTGCACCACTTTGAGAGACTGCTGGTAGAGCTCATAGCAATTGATGTAAGTCCCTTACTAAGTCCCTTACTTCCATAATAGGGTACTTGGAGTGACTGCTGTTAGAGCTCATAGCAATTGCTGCAAGTCCCTTACTTCCATAATACAGACACTTACATTTATGATCATTTTTTGTGTTAAGACGATACAGTTATAACTTATAACCGTCTTACATAGATCAACGCATATGTATATCGAATTTACCTGCATTACTCGAACAATTTGCTTTTCAATTCGCGGAGGGAATTAATAAAATCCAATATCTGTGTAAAAGTTTAGTTTCCAACTTTCTAGCAGTGAAAATGTTGCCCTTTCTGCAGACTACACCCTTTCACACACTCACTTTGATATGGTTAAACATATATATTCAAGATTTTGATCTCTGTGTGATTTGGCAATACTTTTCACCGAATATTCCTCTCTCTCTCTCTCTCTCTCTCTCTCTCTCTCTCTCTCTCTCATGAAGGCACTCATTGGATTAAAAAAAGGTTAATCAAATATAGTCGGAAAGGGATGCCAAAACTTTGTCCATTCAGAATTTCAACTGTGAGTAATTTCCTTAAGAGAAGAACAAGTTTGTATCACTGTTTTTGTAATTGTGTATATTATGGTTCTTTGAATGAAAATCCTAATTTGTACAAATTACAAGGTATGTTACCACCGTCCTTAATGTACATATATGCAATGTGCAAAATTACACCTATTCTCAAGAATGAACATGCTTTGTTCCATCCTTCTGTTAAGGATTATAATTTATGTAAAATTTATAAGTTTTCTCTCTTTTGGGTTACTTTATGTTTCGAATTAGTTGGGTTTAGCATTCTTCATAAGCTTTGATAATTGTTTAATTTCTAGGTTTTGTTCCATGCATGGTTGATTTAAAGTTTGACATTCTCGACGATGATGATAATTGAGTTCAGGATAATGATTCACCCTGAACAAGGACGGATATGCTGTCTATGCCAACAAGGGGGTATGGTGAGATATAGTTTTCGTTATGTCATTGTAGTAGCTTGGCATTTTCCAAGGACTTTTAATTACTGCTGCATTGTTGAATACATTAAGAATGATGCGGTAAACTGGAGAGGGAGTCATTAGCTTATGGATGTGTTAACACATCCAATGTGTTGTAATCTTTTCGCTACTTAAACATGTTAAGACATCAATTCTAGAAAAAATTTGGTCTGCTACTTTACTTATGGTGTTGTTGGTTTACTCCAATGATAATACCTAGCTAGGATAGCCTTTCTTTATGTCTTAATTATTGATAGTGCTATCATCATGGTGTGCTATGTTGGAGCAAAAACTGTGCAGGCAAAGACATAAGAGTGATGGATTTTGGAATGAAATGCAGAGGATATCATTTTGTGCTGCTTAAGTAAAAGTTTCCTCTTCTGTTATATTTGTGTGTTGGATATTGTAGAAAATTAATATAAGTTGTATATTCATGATAACTGACTATATTCATGATAACTGATTGATTAAGATTACTTATAAGGGGTATATATGCACAGAAGAGCTCAGCATGAGGGTGCTATTGGTTTACCTTGCCTGGATGTGTTGCAGGTGCGGGGTTGTTAAAAAAAATAGGTTTTAAAGAATCCTTTGCAGATGCAGGTCTTCTGCTAAGTTATGGGAATTCCTATTATTAAATGATAGCATTGCAATCCGAGTGTAATTAGTTTAGTTTAGTTTTTTTTTTTTTTTGTGAAATGTTATTTACAATGTAATAATGTTTCTTTGAATTCAGTTGTTAAGGTTTCTTTTTATATTTTCCCCCTTTTAGACATTTGCAGATTTGTCCAGAGTGTGTGAGTTGCTTCAGCCAAAACAGGTGCTCTCTGCATTTTTCATCTCTTCCATACTCAAGCTCTAGCCGCTCCACCTCTCTCCCCCACACATAAGCAAACTCCATCTGAAAGCCAAAGAATCCAAAGGTAAATCCCTTCGAACTCTTCAATTATCAACCAGATTTCAGACTTTTTTTGGGATATACACTGCTATTTCATATAGTGTTATTTCAGTAGTTTAATCCTACGACCTAGATCATGAGACATCAGAATTTCGATTGATTTAGCTTTTGTCCTATGCCTTTTTTGTAGGCACAACAGGGATTGTAGACTACACAAACTTAGAAGATATGAAGTATGCGGTAAGTCCTTTTACTTTCTCACTCCAGAGTCCAGTCATTCATATTTTCTGTAACCTTTCATGGAGCATGGGTACTAGGTTGTTGAATATTGCTTTTTCAATATGTCGATGTGTCTAAAGCGTCTATAAGAATCTCAAACTTCATAAATAATTTCCATGCAGATCAAAAAGCTTGATGGCTCTGAGTTCCGAAATGCTTTTGACCGCCAATATGTTCGCGTATGAATCTTACAAGTTGAAAATTTATTTTCTTTCCTCCTGTATTTTTGCTTATCTTTTGCTCTGTTGGGTTTTTTCCAATAACTCAAAGGGCCGAAAGGTATTCCCTTTTCATATTCTTCTCTCCCAATTTCTTTAGGGTTAATTTTAATTTTCTTATGCTATTTGCAGTAGGGGTGGGCACTTAGAACCGAAAACCGAAATCGAAACACGAACCAAATCGAACCGCACCGAACGGTTTGGTTTTGCGGTTTTGAAACGGTTTCGGTTTTGTAACCGAACCGCAACATAGAAAACGGTTTGGTTTCGGTTTTGGCTTTTGAAAACCGCACCGCAAATATTAATAAACATTTAATTAAATGTCCATATTAGATTTCATGTTTTAATTGGTCGTTTGTTAAAATCCATACACTTAGTATGGACTCAACCACACTAGAATATCATCATTCATCACTCTCTTTTGTTCATTAACTTGAATGACCTTTGTTATTTTATACCATCACACACACATATATGTACAAGGGTGGACTAATCTTGTTATCAAGAGTCGAACAATGATCTACTAAAGGCCACTCATTTGAAGCATGATATCACATATTCTAGTATGAAAATTTCGCTCACGTTTAATGAATTCAAATTTATTCAACTTGTTTTATGAAAAATATTGTAAGGGACACCTTTTTGTTGCACAAACATGTTTTAACATCACAACTACATGCAACATGCTAATTGTTTACATAACAAATGTCATTTTCCTATTACTATTGGGAAATGCTTTTTAATATGTTAAATTGCAAATCGTACATTTTTTCTTAAAAACCAAACTGAAACCGTTTGAAATTGCACCGAACCGAACCAAACGGTTTGGTTTCATTTTGGTTTTGGCTTCAAAACCGCACCGAACCAAACCGCAAAAACTTGCGGTTTTGGTTTTGGTTTCAATCAAAACTGAACCGCGCCCACCCCTAATTTGCAGTGGTGTTGTTTAGGGTTTAACTATTTTATTTCACAGATTCCTTTAAGACACAGTAAATTGTTACATTTTAACTTTGTATTTCATAGCGTGGTTGCTTGATTCTAATGTCAATTTGTTACAACAGAAGTGAACCTTTTTCTTTCAATAATTTAATCTGATGTAACTTTGTTTTTGTTGTCTCATGTCTAGGTTGGTCAAGGACGTGGGGAGGAGCACTTTGGAAATGGGTATGAAGGGAAATAAGCTTTCTGAACTGCATTGGCATCTATTGTTCTGGTTTTTCTTTGACAAGTTAACTTGCTCTCTCTTTGCAGTAAGGTGCACAAATATGGGAAAACCACGACAAGGGAAAGCTGGGATATTGTTGTGGATGAGGAGACCTATTAGAGCAAGTCCACCTCTAAGGACTTTATGCCAGCACCCAACCCATTTATCCATTCCCGATAGACTCTAATGAATAGTAATAGGCCAATGCATCTCTATCCCTAACAAAAAATAGCCTAGTCAATTTTATTAAAATATTATTTTTATTATAAAATAATAAAAATATTTATTTTTTATTATAAATTAATTATTATAAAGCTGGGCAGGGATTTTGTTTCTTACATAAAAGAGGAACAAACTTGGTCCGGAAGGAAAATATGGGGATGTTTCGTGGGGGAGGGGGGGTGGTCGAACCTACAAGTTTCGCGGGGGGATCTTTCGCGGAAGGATAATTCCCGGGAAGCGGGAAGCAGGCGGAAGCCGCTCGCAGCAGTGAAGTAGCCGCTGTCGGTGGACAAGAGGGGGGTTTTGAGAGTGAGGTCGAGCGGGCGCGGAGACGGCAAGGAGGAGGACTCCACGGTGCTGCTGTGGCTGTTGCTGATGTTCGTCGTCGCAGCTAATTTGGCGGCATTGTTCATGTTGGCGATGTTGACGGCGTCGAGATGGAGCTTAGTGGGGGTGGGGAAGTTGGTCTTTGCCTTGCCTCCGTGGCTCCTTGCCCTCGACACCACGCTGGCGTCAGCTAGTTGTCATTTGAGCCGGTCCCAAGGTCTGTCAATTTTAGGTCGGCCTGTGGACTGGCTTGGGCTGGGTGCCAGTCGATTCCACGGGCTGGAGTGGATTGGCTGAGTCTCAGCCTGTTTTTTCCATTGGGTGCCGACCTATCCCACCCCCGGTGGACTTCCTCTTACGAGTGAGTCTGGACTTGGTTCTGGTTCTGTTTGCATATAGTATGTTGAAGCAGTCAAAAGGATTTCAAGGGAACCAAATATAAATAATTTAGATTACATCTTCTGGTATTGCTCTTGCTGTAAAAGTAATTTTGATCTTTCACTTTTTTATGAAGGGCTGAGCCGCATTACGGGTGAGTAGATAAACCTTGCTTCATTCGTATATATCCTTCTAAAAGGAACAGGTGAATTGCCCTTATCTCAACACTGCTTCTATAAATTGCCCTTTGTACCAGTTTTTTTAAGACGGCCCAGCGGCCCACTACTAATTGCCATCAATACTGACCTTAACTTAAGCACGTGTGCAATTCAATAAGTATGGTTTTATACAAAATTAAGGCCTCATGGCATTAGTAGTTCAACTTTCTATATAAGAGGATTTAAGCTTCGACAAGTTTCCGATGTGGCCATGTGGGACATGCTTCAACACACTTAATTGGTATAAACGGAAAATACACTTCTTTGTGTGTTTTGGATAGAGGGCTGGTTTCCCTATAATCTAGACATCTTGGAGTCCAAGTACGAATCATGCCGTCAGCTGCTTTGAAATGGAAAAGCAGATGAACATGCACTGAGGATGAAGTCAAGTTTTGTTGTTATTATTAGGTTCTGTTTTGTCAAATGTTGTTTCTCATAGGATTCCTATATCTATTAACATGGAAAAGCAGATGAACATGCACTGAGGAGCAAGAAAATGGACCCGGATGAAGTCACCAGTAGAAGGATTCGCAGGAGAATAGACAGCAGGGATGTCAATACGGGAAGATCAAACTGCGCGCGTAATGAGATAACTCAGGTCGGACATGCACGCGTATGCGCCTAGGGTGTGGCAAGGGCTAGGAGCATTTACAGCATTGTGCACAGCCTAATGCCTGCTCGTCCCAAATTTGAAGAAGAGCTCATTAAGAACGTTTCTGGTGAAGTAAAGAAGGCGCAAAGGAAAAGGTTCAGGCTATGGTGTTTAGAAAAGCTTGAGGCATTGAAGAACCTCATTTGGACTAGAGCAATGGTTTTCTGAGTTGCATGATTTTCCGTTTCCTAATGTCGTCGTTTTGGTCTTAGTTTTTTAAGGAAGTTTGGGTTGTTGGACTGAAACAATGCTTTTCGGAGTTGCATGCTTTTCGGTTTCGTAGTGTTAAAATTTTGACTTGAATTTGATACTATGATTCTATGAACGTGTGTTCAATCTCGACTGACCTCCACATGACTTGGAGCTTACTCTACCTTTACCTCATATCCACCTTCTCTGTAGTATCGATCGAATATGGATCGAGCTGAGGTGGCCTTTACACACACCAGGTCCAGACTCATCATCTAATGAGCCCATGAGTCCATTTGGTCGCAGTAAGCAATATCCAAGCGCATCGTCCGTCAGGTCCATCTTAGGCTAATGAAATGGCTGGCCTGACCTGGGATTCAACTTGGTACGAAATGGCTGACCCGACCTGATGAGATGGGCCACGCCTCAACGGGCTTCAAATGGTCATCGAACCAGACCTCAAACCCGAAATCAGATTCTCTCTGAATCTCGCAATCCAAAATCGATAGACCGAGATATCCAAACCGGTCAAGAGAGGGGAGAGAGAGATTCGGACCCCTTATGTGATGTGGGTCAATAGGATAAGCTAATGAAGGTCGTATGATTTAAAATGAGTGGTTCGGGTCTCTAAGTCCGTTTGCGCCAGACTGTGACATTCGAAGAGGATCTCGATTCTGTGATTATCTCAACTCGGCCTCGGGTGTCTTACCCCAACGACGTAATCATACATTAAAAACTTCGGTTAGTACTTTTTTTTTGTGAATACAGAAATAGAGACTTAGTCGTCTTTGTTTTTGTGAAGATATAAGTCTCTTATATTCTTCAAAAAAAAAAAAAAAAAAAGTCTCTTATCACTTGACTTAAAGGCTTAGTTAGTCGTCTTTGTTTGGTTCTGAAGGTCTGTTTTCAGATTTTCTATGTATCCGTCCTCAATCTGCATGTACTTTTTCAAATTTTCTTTGTGGTCCCCATTGTTGAATTTTGACTGGTGGACTTGAATGGCCGACACATGCAGCGTGAGTCATGAATCTCGAGTGTAATGATAAATATTATTAATTATTTAAGTTACAAGTCCTTTGCTGATTTGGAACATTTATAAGTGCTTAAGTCAGTAGAATCATAAAACAGACGAGGGATGAGAGTAGGATGAAAAGAGATTTGAGAGAGACAAGTCACGGATCATTACTAATTACATCAATATTGTTACAACTTGCAACATTACAAAGAGTTGAAAGAGACAATAAGTTCTATCACAAAAAATCTCGGTGTTATTATATATAGAACTATTCATTATATTATTTTTTTTGAAAGTGAAATTCTTGTGATATGTGTAGTTTCGGAGAATTTATTCTGTAGGCCCGGAGATATTGTTGTGTGTGACTTCAAAAAATGGTGTAGACGCCTTTAATTCCAGGCAAAAACTTAGAAAATGACAGGCACGTGGTGCACACACATTTACTTAAAGATATAACCAGGACCAATGCTTTACTAAGAAATATAGCTAATCAATCAAGCCAAGTTGAAAAATTGGTGCTTTTGCAATGGCAGTGGCTCTTTCTGTAGAGATGCTTTTGTTCTCCTCTTTGTTTTTGCTACCAATTTCTGTGATTTCCCAAAATAATGGAACAGTAGCAGTTGGGAGTTCTCTAACTGCAACTACAGGCGACTCCTCATCATGGCTTTCTCCATCCGGTGATTTCGCGTTTGGATTTTCGCCCCTCGGAAACAATGATCGTTTCTTGCTTTCGATATGGTATGCGAAAATCCCAGACAAAACCGTAGTTTGGTATGCATATGACGGTAACAACCCCATGGTTGCACCTAGGGGATCAGTTCTGAACTTGACTGCCAACAGTGGACTAGTTCTTAACAATCCTCAGGGTGGAGAGACATGGAAATCCGAAATAACCTTGGGGACTGTTGCGAACGGGGTCATGAATGACACCGGAAACTTTGTCCTTCAACACCAAAACTCTCGGAGCTTGTGGGAGACCTTCAGCAATCCTACAGACACCATTTTGCCTGGACAGACAATTGAGAGAAATGGGACGCTTTCGTGTAGACAATCGGAGACTAACTACACAAAAGGGCGGTTCCAGCTGCGCTTGCAAGGTGATGGAAACCTCGTGCTCAACACCGTCAACTTGACAACAGATAATGCCAACTTCCCTTACTTCGACACAAAAACGACCGCAGGGACCGTGTCAGGTAGTCAAGGCAAACAATTGGTGTTCACCAGCTCAGGGGACATGTTTGTTCGGAGAGAAAATGGTGGAAGATTCACTCTTACGGGGACAGAGGGAGTATCGGTGAGGGACAACTACATAAGGGCAACTCTTGATTTTGATGGGATTTTCGCGTTATATTCTCACCCGAAAAATTTCACTGGAAATGCAAGGTGGAGTAATCCTCTGTGGTATAAGCCGGATGATACTTGCCAAAACCTTCGTGAAGAAATGGGTTTTTGCGGATATAACAGTGTCTGTAAGCTCAAACTAGATAAAAGGCCAACCTGCAAATGCCCAAAAGGGTTTTCTTTTCTTGATCCGAAGGATATATACCGAGGCTGCAAACGCGTGGAATCAGTATTATTAGGTACCTCTATCTTTGTTAATGTTGTCTTAAGTTCTGCTCTCTGTCTCGGTTTTTTCTTCATTTTACGGAAGAAACCTGCAAGACCTAGTTCATCCAAAAATTGAAGACAATTAATGCGTACATGTGCGTGTGTGTTACACTGATTTCATATGTTGCTAGCTAATTGTTTATGATGCAGCAGATAAATGGGTTTGGATTGGCATTTCTATAGCTGCTGCTCTAGTGCTTTGCACCGCGTACTATCTACTCCGACGAAGAAGATCAGCCCTTGCATCAGCTGGTATATTTCTTTAAATCATGTGCACCAGTAAGACAGGATTATTATTCACATCTTTGACAATTGGTGTCTCCATTCAATAGGTGGGGACAGAGCAAGGAAACAGAACACATGGCTTTGCTTCTTGAAATCTGATAAACTTACCGATGAACATGATCAAGAAAACATGGGAAAAACATGATTTAAGCGTATTTACGTATGAATCTGTTCTGACTGCCACATCCAACTTCTCGGAGGAAAACAAGCTCGGAGAAGGGGGATTTTGGACCTGTTTATAAGGTAAGGCCTTCAATGACTAGATTATAGTGTCTTCTATATTCTTTTGGAAACAACTGAGAAAATTATGGATAATCAATTCAGGGAAAATTGGTGACGGGACGAGAAAATAGCTGTGAAGAGGCTTTCAAAAAGTTCTGGACAAGGAAATTCAGAGTTTAAGAGAGTGAATTTATGCTCATACATGAACTCCAACACTCAAACCTTGTTCAGCTCCTTGGATTTTGCATTCATGAAGACGAGAGGATGTTGATATACGAATACATGCCAAACAAAAGCTTAGACTACTTTATTTTTGGTTTGGAATCAATACTACTATAGTCTTAGTAGTTGATTTTATTTGTTTAATTTGTGAGTGTAAAAACATATCGAGTATTGTTACTTAACTCTCTTTACATTGTGACAGATTCAATCAGAGGTGTGTGCAACTCGATTGGAAGAAGCGTTTCGGTATAATTGAAGGAATAGCTCAAGGATTGCTTTACTTGCACAGATTCTCAAGAACGAGAGTAATTCATAGAGATTTGAAAGCTAGTAATATACTACTCGACGAAAACATGAACCCTAAAATTGCAGATTTTGGTTTGGCAAGGATATTTACCCACACTGAATTGGAAGCAAATACTAGTAGGATTGTCGGGACACTGTAAGTAAATGTGTATAAATTCTTATTTGTCATGGCTTCTGCTTTTGGTTGTTAAGCATGTATTTTCGTAGATGTGTACTAATTGATGACTTTTTTCTTTTCCATTTTTTCCAGTGGTTATATGCCTCCTGAGACCATTGAAGGAAGAGTTTCTGTAAAAACCGATGTCTACAGTTTCGGGGTGCTAATACTTGAAATCATAAGCGGCCGGAAAATCAACCGCTTATGCAATGATGATGGCTTACTCAATTTGGTAGGATATGTATGTAACCTTTTCTAGCTGCAGACTATGTTCTTGTTTTTAAGGCTGAGCTGTGCTAGGGATGGCCCCCAAGCGCGTCGTCGATGGTTCGTGGGACCTCACTTCCATCAACGGTGGTTGTGAATGACTGTCAGTAGCATTTCATTATTGTGATATCCTAGCTAAATGATCATGTTACCATTGTTTCAGGCATGGGAGTTATGGAAAAAAAATGCAGCGCTAGAACTAAAGGATCCAACTCTAGGCGACTCGTGTAACGGGAATCAACTGTTAAGATGCATCCATGTCAGTCTACTGTGCGTGGAAGAAAACGCAGCCGATCGACCCACCATGTCGGATGTAATATCGATGTTGATAAACGAAAGCATGGAGTTGCCTAAACCAAAAAAGCCGGCATATTACACACAAGGAAATGTGGACTTTAATGGTATACGTGAAGGGGGAGAGCAAGCTGGATCGATAAATGTTTTGTCTAATTCCGACATTGGTGGGCGTTGAGAAATCAATCAACAATCCTGTAATAAAAAACATTGTTCCCATTGATAAAGTAGATATGGTAACGAAAACAAAAATCATCGATTAAGTGGAATATTGTATAATATATTTTGCTGATTTCTAGTTTGAAATGTTATGCCCATAAATTTTGCTGATTTTTTTTAAACTCAGCATAATTGTCATGCATACATGTTAGCTATGTTGAAGATCAACACGAGCCCAATTGGTGTTTGGATGCTAGACAACTCTTGCAAAATACTATGTCGGTGGTACTAGCTAGAAGGTTCTGGAGATTCAATGTATGGGAGGTAGACGGTCACGGTGCATGCACTTAAAATGCTAGACAATTCTAGCTCCAAAGTCGGTTACCTATCTATAATTATCTAAACAAATATCCTAAGATTGTTGAAATGGAATGTTAGTGAAAATTCTAGAAAGTAATATAAGTTAATGGCTGGAAATGCACAAGCCAAGGCCACCAACTTTGGCTAGGTCGGTTATGCCATGTATAGATATAAGGTAGTGCTATGTGTGGTGTAGTAAGCTTGTAAAGAATCCAAGTAATCAAGCAAGTAAGCAACCAAGTGAGAGTGAGAAGCAACTTGTTCAGCTCTTCGGATTATGCATTCATGGTGAAGAGAGGATGCTGGTATATGAGTACATGCCAAACATAAGTTTGGACAACTTTTTATTTGGTAACTGGGAACTAATTAGAACTACATTAATTTAGCATTTGATTTCCTTTATTCGAACTTTTTATTCATTGATATATTCTTATTTAGCTTCCTCTATATTACAGATTCTACCAGAGCTCTACTAGATTGGAAGAGGCGTTTCAGTATAATTGAAGGAATAGCTCAAGGATTGCTTTACTTGCACAAATACTCGAGAATGAGAGTAATTCATAGAGATTTGAAACCTAGTAACATATTACTTGATGAAAATATGAACCCCAAAATATCAGATTTTGGTATGGCAAGGATTTTCACCTATAATGAATTGGAAGCAAATACTGTTAGGATTGTTGGGACACGGTAAGGACACAATGCTTGCATTCATTCTTATCACGTGTTTGCTTTTGGATACATGAAATGCAATTTTATAGAATTTTATAGATGCGTACACAAAAACATATATTTACCTTTCCTTCTTCACTTGGTGCAGTGATTACATGTCTCCCGAATATGCCATGGAGGGGGATATTTTCAATAAAATCTGATGTCTTCAGTTTTGGGGTGTTAATTCTCGAAATCATAAGTGGCAGGAAAAACAACAGCTTCTACAATGATGAGCGTGTGCTAAATTTAGTAGGATATGTACGTAACACAAACCTCTGCATTTAATTCTTTATTCTTCTCCTTTGAGGTGTCCGGGTTGATAAGAACTTCAGTGCGGACTTTCCTGACATATGGCTGGTTGAGTAGCATGTATCGTCCCGTTAGGATTTGTCAGGTGTTGAAGAATTTTAACGATAACAAAATAGGTCACTCAACATGTAACATGACGGAAGTTCCCACTGCAGTTTTTCTCATGAGATTCGATCATGATGGTATCCTAATTAAGTCATCATAACTCATATTGTTTCAGACATGGGAGCTATGGAAAGAAGGCGCAGGGATAGAACTAATGGATCCAACACTAACGGATTCATGTGTTCGGGGATCAATTTCTTAGATGCGTCCATGTCGGTCTACTATGCGTGGAGGAAAATGCAGGTGATTGGCCGACCATCTCCAATGTGATATCTATGTTGACAAATGAAAGTGTGGCATTACCTATGCCAACAAAGCCAGCATTTTTCACAGAAAGAAATCATGTGGCCGGTGGAAAGGAGCCAGAAGATATGTCGATAAATTGTATGTCCAATTCCGAAATTGTTGCGCGTTGAAGGTTGTGGCTTGGTTTTATATACTTGCAAGAGCAGTGTCAGTTCATTTTTATCACCACTCTTGATTTTAAATTCTGTGCGTGTATTTGTTTACACTGCAATCACCTCGTAGAGGGCAATGCATGGTTCCTGAAGCATGCAATGGGACGGTTGGTTAATTGCCTTTCGAGGTAGTTTGTACTGTAAAATCCCAGTTTTATCTTACAAGCTCGATCGTACTAAAAGATTGGTCTCTGGCGTAATGAATGG